GTGGCTGACATAATTGGTTGGAGGTAACTGAGTTATCTCTTTGACTTAGTAAAATAATTTTAATGAAATTATTAATTGTAATAAAAATAGTTTTAATGAAAACTAGAATTACTAAAGCCATTTACGGTGACTAATTATTTCTGGAATTTTTACCAAAGATTCACATTTCCAGCTTTTTAAATATACTTACAAATTCCTCCTCTGAATAAAATACTTTTTTATACTATAAGTTGTCTCTGACTCAGTTTATTCAGATATACAAAATTGAACTAAATATTAAGAGTTTTTGAAATTTTAGTTCATATGATAAAAGTTATTTAGAAATCATGAAATCCTCCAGGAAAGAAAGAATATTCCATTGTTTTATAAACTGAGTTTGTGGAATGGGATGTAATACTGAAAAAAAGTTTAAAGTTTCAACTGGAATGGTTTGTTTTAGCAATATTTTCTTTTTTTTAGGGGCAAAAATTTATTAGAAAAGCGGTAACACTCCACAGACAGAGCAGTGGTCTCCTCTCAGAGGCAGAGAGCGAGAGGGACTAGCAATATTTTCTGTATGATTTTGGTTTTAATTGTGAATAATTGGCTAGAATTTCTAGCTGCATTATGTGTTGTTATTAATCGTTTTTAAAAACTTATGTAAGAATAAGTTGATTGAGATAAATTGTGTTATAAGAATATGTACTGTTTTCTAGCCACATGAGAAATCACCTTTGTTTCTGTCTTGATAACAGTCTAACTTTTTCTACAGGAAAAATATTTGAAGTGCTTATCATACACATTATAGTTATAAGGCCACTTTTTAAACTGTATTCCAGAACCGTTTTTAATATATGAAGCTGACTGACGCTGTTCCAGTGTCAGAATAATTCAGATACAACTATTTCGTGAGAGTAGTTGGATGTCAAAACCATAGTCGGTGCCACCAAACTTTGTGTGTGAGGAGACTACCACCAGTGTTATGTGACTGAATGGAGCTGATCAAGCCAAAAATCACTGTTCCTGAGTCAGTGCTCCTAACTAGGAATATGAATGATGCCAGTCATTTTATGGAAATTTTGCTGAGTGTTTTGAATCAAGTAAAATTCACTAAAGTACTCTGTTATTAAGTAAATGAGCTTAAATACTTATTAGATATGGAATAATTCGTATATATAATCAGTATATGTTAAGTACTCTCTCTACGTCTCTATATATATTTATATATAGAGAGAGAGAGAAATCTATGTGCAAAGCACAAATGCAGTAACTATTCATTTGCTTATTTGTTATAAACTAATATTATTTTGCAGAAGCAGTAAAATCATAAAAACACCATCACTTCCTACATTTTATTTGTCATGATAGCAAAATATCTAAAAGGTGTCTTTAGCAAGACCCACTATCATAAACATACCAAAGAGTGACATTTTATAGTTCATGGAATTAAAATAAAAAAATCTAAACTGTTGAAAACTCTTCTGAGGACCTAAAAGAAGTCTCAAAGGGATATATAAGGGTCAGAGTTCGATTAAAAAAATATTAAAATTAGTACAAAAATACAAGAAAATATGAATTTCTTTCAAAATTATTTAAAAATTTTATGTTAAAATTTTATAAAGTCAAGCAGACATTCACTTAATATATGTTAATTTTTAAATCCTCATAATTCATTCAACCTTTAGAGAAATTAATTGACGAAGAATTTAATGCAATATTGGATGCATTACTGAAAGGACAGGGATTCATTAGGCTCAAATCTTCTGTCAAGGAAATCAGAAGTTCACCTATTATGAACATTGGGTCGGGAGCTGTTTTTTCATAGAGTTATCTTCCTAAGGGTTTTGGAAAGAAAGTTCTCCATTTTGCTTATTTTTTACCATTCATAACTCTAGGATATATTGCCTCATAATGTGGAAATAATGAAGGAACACTAATTTGCACATCACCTTCAATTTCAGATTCCCAAGGATTTCGATTTTTAAAAAATTTGATTTCATTAGCTATTTGTGAATGTATGACTATACGGAGGCCAAACGGAAGAACATGGGAGTAAATCATTCTTGGCCATTGATGACAATTTATTAGTTTAGGATATATATTAAGGTACAGAGAATGAATAAAGTTTAAGAAGGAAAAGTTAAGGTAGATGAGAGCAAGGAGGAAGTTTATGACTTGTATATTTGTGGCCTTATTATGGAATTCTGATTGATAGGATTTAGAACTTTTTTCTTTTCTTGATATGAAGATATCAAAAATAACATCGAACACCAAATCTAGATCAATGGTTTCTTTTTCTTTGTACTCTAGACTGAGAAATGAAATATATTCCTTGAGTTGCTAGTTTTAGATAGTTTATTTTTTTCTTTTCTATTAAATGGGCATAATTTAATTGAATTGAAACATAGTAACTCATATCCATTAAATATCAGACTCTCTGCCAATTCCTATGCTTGGCACTAAGAGAATAAGAAAAAAAAATCAAGATCTAGATCTGAGAGGGCCTCTGTGATTACCAAGACCAACGGTTTATATTTATACACTCTGATGTTCTTTGTACAAGAATACGTCTCATTACAAAGAGAAAATATTAAAGTTTGACATAGAAATAGACTTTCATATGGAAAAACGTGTTCACAAATAAAGAAGTATAATATATAAATTCTCATTGTTTCAGAACAGGAATTGATCATGACCATAGCATACACATGTCATTATATCTAATTAAAACATATTTATTATTCAATTTTAAATCATTTAATTTCATTGGTTCCCATATTGCTCCGTTACCAAGTATTAGTATCAATACAGCTTTGCCAGCATCAATGCTGAATAAAAATACTAAGATGATTTATTTCTTCAGTTGTGTTATAAAAACTAACATTTTGAGAGGAGACTTCAAATTGATAGCCACCAGCTCCAGCATTAAATGAAACTCTTTTGTGTGGAATCATAAGAAATTATAGTTCAAAATTAATGTGAGTCTGCTGCATGTGAATAACTTAAAAAAATATCCCCAAAGTCACATTTTAGTATGCTACGTACTTTGAAGATTTTTCACTATATAAAGTCAGCATAAATTTTTAGGGTGGGAAAAGGGGTCATTTGAAAGCAAATCCCTTTGAGAAGTGAAACCTTTTAGTGCAAACATCAGGATATATTTTAATGGTGTTTGAAAAAACTCTCATTTCACTTGAGTACAGGGAAAATGCTACAGGCTTTTAGATAACATGAGCTAACCAATTCAGTGCTTTATAGGTCCTTCATAAAGTGTTTTTTCCCCCCCGCCTATGTGACTTAATTCAAATCACTTGGATTAGTTCTTATATCTCTCAATGCACAACCAGAGAGTAAAGGGAGTCAATGCGTGTTCTAGATATGTGGCTGTTGTGCCCTACTTTCCTAAGTTTAAATTAATCCCTCAACCCCTGACCACCCCACACCTCAGCATCAACAACTGCAGCCACCAGCTGGCCTAACGTGGCCTCACGAATAGACCTTGCTCAGCCCAAACAGACTCGGACCATATACTCATTGAAATATTTGAGTTAGTTCCCAATATTTAAAAATTAGGAAGATTGATCTAAAAATTTCCATCTCTTGCTTCTCTTGAGAAAAATCCGATTGTTTGGCAGCCTTCCATTATAGCTCAGCAACAGTCGGTCGGAGCTGAATATTAGCTGCTGCAAAGGGGAACATCATTGCTAGCTTGCTAAGGTCCTCCTTGGTCCCAGCTGTCTGTCGAATCTTCTCTATCTCTCTTTCCCATTGTCTTTCTGTATATTTGCCTACTTCTCTCATGTGTGTTCCCTTCCTGGCCTCTGTAGGCAAGTGAATTTGCAAGCTCTTAATTCACCCCCTTCTCCAACATCAAAGTTGTCCACCTGGGCCGTTGATCCCATCTTTCTCGCCTCCCTCAGCAACTTGCCCTGTTTAGTCAGCACCCTATGGCTTCTATACACTGGAGACATTTGCCATCTTCACACTGTGGTCACACACTCCTGGGATAGGTGTCTTCTCACTTTCTTGTCACAGCTAGACTTCTCTGAAGGGAGAAAAAAAATTCTTCTCAATCTTATTAACTCCTAAGTTTTTGTAACTTGTGTAATTCATCTTGCCAGTTGGACTATATGCTTTTTTGTGGATAGGTTTGATAAGCCTGATTTGTTTTTATAATATTCCCATTATCATAAAAATAAGAGCCATTCATATAAAAATAAGAGCCAGACATATTAGATGAATTAATGAGGAGGAGGAGGAGGAGTAGAAATAGTAATAATAATGGAATGTGTTAGGGGAAAAGTAGCAAAAAACTGAACCAAACAAGAGTTATACTTATTTTCACCATATCTCACTTGACCATCCATCTTTCTGACTCTAGCTTCAAGAAGCCATGATCACTAACATGTATCACTAAAAAAAGGACAGGATTTGTGGCTTCAACTAAAAACTGTTAGAATATAGTAAGCTCTTAAGCAACTGCTACAGCATGTCACTTCATCCACACCCAATGCAAGTACCAAATATGGATATCGTTCTTACGGAAATTTCAACAGTGGCTGATGTCTACAGTAAAGAATAATTAGGAGGATTTTGTTTCAGGACCTGACAACCGATTCTGTGCTATCGCTATGAGATTTTAGTTGGAGATTTCATATATGTCCATTTACTCATGGATATTAATTATACATCGTTCCCCTCTAAGAAAATATAACTGCTTATTTTTCAATTGTGACTGTCTTGTGTTCATTTCTTAACCAATATCAGAAATAGACATGCATGTGTGCCCACAGTGCATGTCGCAACATGTGAACAGTCAAAGATGCTATGTCTAAAGCCATAAATTTGTGATCTTTAATAAAACGATGTGTAGCAATATGTTAAAGTATAAAATTTATTTATCATCTTGTTTATAACAATAGCACATTCTTTACGCTGTCTCAGGTAGTTGTTTTGTATAAACATAAACTCTAGAAGTTTTTATTTTTTTATACAGGATGATTAATAAATTTCATATCTAAAATTTCTAACTTTTTTTTTATTCCACAGCACTCTCAACAATAACAACATCACCAGACTTTCTGTGGCAAGTTTCAACCATATGCCTAAACTTAGGACTTTGTAAGTAGTCACAATATACATATGAAGGTCAATTTAATCAATTAATGGTTCCCTTTAAGTACTATTTTTAGTAAGCAAACACCAAGACCACTAGTAGAAAACACCACTTTTTTTTAAAGTTTTGGATATTTGAGTAAATTAACTATTCTGAAAACTTGAAAGCTTTCTTTAAATGGTATGTGTTCTGGGAAGTTTGAGGGGAACATTTATTTTGAGCTGTTGTGGAGGTCACATTTCATTAAGAAATGGAAGACTCCTTGATTGGCTGTCAGAAATGATAAATGGTAAATCTTTATGATTTTATTACTGTACGTCACACAAACCTAATAAAGCTAAACTGGCTCTCCAACATTCTTTGTAACGTAAAATTACAGCATAACCCTCTAGTGCTTCTATAATTAAGGTCGTGTCAGCATTTCTATTTAAAAATATCTTTTCAGGAGTTACAGATGGACATTAAAATATTTTAGGTGAATAAAATGGTTCACTAATAAAGTATTTACTACAGCTATGTTTTTTTTTTATTCTTGGAGAAGAATAAATCCTTAAAACCGGGGTGGGGATATTTAGTTAAAGCATTTTCGGAGATAAATCTCA